TCTTACAACTCTTGTAGATGTCATCTTACCTCGTTCCTTGAGCGAAATTCAAAATTGGAATCGCTGATTAACTCATATATAGCAATGAAATATCCTGAAGTTGCTCCTATCAACATCTGAAGTAATATTTGATTCAAAATTTTTCTCATGTTCCACTCAGTCTCCTTCAGAAGGAAGAATAAGCATAGTCGTACAACGATCACAACTCCACCACTTTCCCAACACGACTGATACATTTCCTTAATTCGCGAACCGCTCTCTCCGACTCAAGCGTTGATTCGCTGAAATTTGAAGACCTGTCAAACCACAAATTAGCAAGAACGCTCTGATTGGTGCGACATCGAAAAATACTACAATCTGATTGGTTTGTGATACACCAAAAAATTGGGCCAGTCACATTGCGTTGAGATACACCAAGAAAAAGATGCGCCAATCAGATTGCTTAGAGATACACCAAATTGCGCTGATCAGATTACACTACACCACAATACACCAATCTGTACGCTAAGATATAGTTATTTTTTTAAAAAAAATAACTCAATAAACACTTAATCTTTTTTAAAATGTTTTTGCATGGAAATCAGGCCCCAGGCTTTAAACAAGCAGGCATTGTTACCATGGTAACAAGAGTGCTGCAATCTTTAAAAAGAGCATTTTTGTGCATTCCCCCTGAGTGCCTTACTGCGTGCAAGGTTTGAAGAGGGGTTGAAAATTTTCATTTCCCAAGATATTTGATTCTTACAGAGACTTGTTTTTATGAGCATTTTTAATTGGAAAATTGATATCTGTAAAGTGAAATAACAATCCATAAAATGTTCTGGTATCCAGCACTTGAAGAATCCAACTTAAGTGCTTAACACTGATTTTCTTTTGGCATTTCCTTTATCTGAGTAACCTGTGATACACTTTGTATTTCCTATGCAAAATCCAGCTTTGGAATTTTTTTGAATTTAATTTATTTGTCAAGATGATTGTAAATCCCAAGAGAAAGTAAAAACAATACTTTTGATTAATTGCGAGTGTTAATGGACTATTCTAAATAAGTGATAGAAGAATCCTTGAAGCTGTTGGTCAGAATTAAAACAGGCTTTTCAAAAAAATTAAATGATTATTCTTTAATACATTCGCGATCATTTTTCTTCTAGATTCATGATGTTGCAGAATTTCTTGGAGGAGATTTGAACACCAAAAACCAACACATTCTGATAGTTTACATAAAGACTTCTAAGCAAATGGCATCAAGCCATGCGGTAGCCATTCCACCCAGTGAAAACAATTCAGCATTGAAGTTA